AAATGGCAATTATTGGGAGCTCTCTATGCTTAATGCTGATCGCTAACCCAGCCTACGGATGGATGTAGCTATCGATCGACCGCCCGAACGTACGTCGGCATCTCGGACAAACCAACCAAACCGTTCCGTCTTACGTCTAAGTTTTACAGATGTATTTGGAGTGAAAATGATAATCCAAACATGGCCTAAGGCTCCGCTTGGAATAGGGGTAAATTTATACACCCGTATTACTTTTATAAGTGTAAATCACCAGCCATGTGTGATTTCCAACCGGAAATGAAAACTGACTGATTGAGGTCCGTATCTTTGCAGGTGTAAAAGTGTGGAAAACGACAATCCAATCAGACCCTAACACGGCGAGCATCATGTACTACAAGTAATGTGACTGGCCTCCATCAGCAACCGCATTCCATTCTCATGAAGCAAGCAGAGGACAGCGACCCAGCGCTTCTCATCTCATTATCCTCTGCTCTGCATCTTGTTTTTCTTTTCAGGACAAGTTTATCCTTTGGCATCTCATCAGGGATGGATTGATGGATGGAGGGATGTTAATGGGCTAACTAAACGAATTGACGGAATCTCTCGTCCGACCCCGGCATTTGTTTCCCACAACCCCGAACGAGGTCAACACGCGTCTGCTTGATTTCACCCCGACGTTTGCTCGCATGGAGAAAGGTTTACTGGCTCGCCATGACTCAACGTTTAACGAGGGGAGGGCCAAGTCAAAAATGTTAAGGACAAGGCAGCGTATCCTCATGTGAAATCCACCTCGCTCAGCTCACGCACGTTCGTGTGTGAAAGAGACAAACTTCAGCTACAGCTGTCGTGGTTAGTTTTTTTTTTTTTGACTTACTCTTCCTTTTAGAAACTTTTTTTAGAATTATTGAGAAACTTTTTGATTTACACTCACTCGCACTGTCTAGCTTTGCATGTTTACAAAGAACTAGGGAGTACAACGAGTCCACAGACCATAGCTGGTTACAACCATCACTACAGCAAACCATTCTTTCAGGGATTTTGACGGAATACCACAAAATATTTTAACTTCAGGATTGGTGGGGCCTTCTCACAAAGAGAATGACACCCTTCAAAAATTAGGGTATGCTGCTTAGTGTAGCGTGCACACGGTATTCTTTAGTAAAAGGCGAAAGAATAGTTCGCTCTGTGCTCACCACGCAGCTGCGTGCCTTTCACAGCGGGTACCTCACACTCTTATGTACCCGAGCTCCCCGCCATCTCTCCCATAAACAGGCGAGGTGGGACTAATCAAAACCATCTCTACACTGCCCTGGCCCCTCCCCTACCGTGTCAGAAAAGCCCACAGACTGTTTTTTGTTGTTCAGGACAATCAAAGCCCACATATGCATGTGCGTTTCAAGTTGCTCAGCCCAAAAGGTGTGACGCCAGCGGCCCAAAGGAGCAACGATCGTAAATTCTGATGTCCATCGAGCTGGTACTTGCATGTGGAACATGCTGATATATCGAGCCATCACACCGAGCAGTATCTGCTGCGTTCAACTGTGCTTGCCCGCAACGATTATGTTACAGAGTTCATATGCCCTCTTTTCTTTAACAGAACACACGCAGTTTGACATAGTCTTGTTAATACGCCACGGTGATCTCTGTAGAATTCCACAGATAGCACGGTTCACAAAGCGAGATAGCACACTAGATTACCATGAGCTGGTACACTACACTTCTCATCCGCGGTCTAGCAGCGCAGGATTTAAGCAAAACGGGGAATCCAGATATTTCGAAGAGATCGCTGCCTCCCGGGTCGCTCTCGCGACTCCGGAGTTCCCCGCCGCCGCCAACAACAGGGAGCAACCGCACCGCCCATTCCCTACTCGTCGTCGCTGGAGGAAGCCTAAGGGCAAAGCCCAACGGCTGACGGCGGCGGCGAGGACGCACGCAGCGCGCGGCCGCGACCCTCACCGGTCCATCTCCACTCACCAGATCCAGATCCATCTTGTCCTCAGCTCTCCGGGTGTGCTCCAGGCCCTGCTGCGCGCCGACGCTCCACCACCTCCCTGCTACTGCCTCGCCTCGTCTCGCACCGCCGCCCAACATCCACTTTCACCGTGGCTGTCGGCATCCTCCACCATTCAGATCCGGCCGGTGCTCGCCGTCTCGACCTGCGCCGCCATCCTCCGCGTCGACCCTCCTCTGCTCCGGGCCGGTGCGTCGCGGCTGCGGGATCCATGCTCCCCGCCTTGGGCGGGTCTTGATCTGCCTGCTCGTCCTGCCTGGGTGGTGCGGGGTGGCAGCCCGACCTCCTTTGCTTGCTTCTGCTTCATCCCCAGTGCTTGCGCTGGTTTCTGGTGCTTGGGCGAGGCCGGAGTACCTACGCCGACTGGCTGTGCCTTTGAGGTCCTCTGCATCGACGACCAAGCACGCGTGCATCGGATCTGCCATGTGCAGTGTCCGACCTGGCCGTCTTCGCCCCTGCGCTCCATTGCGTGCTACCCCACCCCCAGCCGGCTCCTCGACTCTCCATCGCCTCACGCCTGCCTCTCCTTCGACCTCTATGGATGGTGGCCCGTCGGTTGTCCATTTGCATTGCTTCGGCTGTCGGAGCTGCTCTGACGACGTCGGCCTTGATCTGGTATTAGCTTTGGGAGAAATCCCTGCTGACCCATGTGTCAGCTAACCACGGCGGCGCCAATCCGGTGTCGCTTTCCTTCCTGTGGAGGCGTGGTCTTTGAGTTGTACCTGCTTGGTTTGGGCTCTCCTCCATGTCGACGGCGCGGTTTGCAACTTCACGTCCGTATGGTGAACTTCTCTGCACTCTGTGTGACCTTTCCATTTTGCTTCAACCCACTTGTCTCTGCCCGTCCTCCCCAAATCGTCGCCAACATCGCCTCCTCGTTGAGCCCTTCGCCACCATCCATCCGCCCATGCCCATCATTTAGTGTGTCATCCATGTTGGTGTGTTCTTCATGTGATTTCTTTTCGGCTGTCCATCGCGTGGTCTCCGTACTGTTGTTGTGCATGCTCAAGACCCTCCCATGGTTGCCGTTGTGCTGCGGTGAGCTTCGGGCTCTTGGTGTTGTCTTGGTTCACCTTTGCTCAATGATGACGCAATGATGCCTTCCCAACCTGCTAATCGTCTCGACCGCTCGTGGCGGATCTCTAAGTCAAGGTTCGTGTTATGGTTTGGCACTCGTTGATTATGGATGATCCTCTGTTGTGCCGTGAGGCTCGGTACGCACCGCACCGGTTGTTTGCACAGTCTTGGCATTGTGATCCCTCAACAACACCCCACATCTACTTGTGTCTCTCGTGGTGTTGGTCTTTCTGCATGCTAGCTAAGTCGTGCCTTCTCCTGGGCATCACTTTTTTTCTCTTCTTCTGTAACCTTGTTACCTGTACGGTTTTCGGCCCGGTTTTCCTCATAAACGTGGTCAACTTGTTTAGGTTTTCGATCCGGTTTCCCTTATAAACTGGATCAGCCAAAGCTTATGGGGCGACTCTTGGCTTTGGCAGCTTTTTGAGCAATATATTTAGGTGGGGATTCTCTCCCCCCGGTGACCGTTCAAAAAAATACACTTCTCACCCGCTAGCAGAAATCGATTAGCATGTTCGGCGGGAGTGAAATAGAAGACTGTGTCTAGCAGCTAGGCTTGAAGATGCAACAGGAGTTGCTTGATTCCTTCGGCCGCTGAGAGGATGCGCAGACAAACACTGAACTGGGCGGCCATTCAGTTAAGAGCTTAACGAATGACGTCGTCTTTCTGGCATGACTTGCTTGCCAGACGTGCATTCTAGGAACTTTTTTGATAATTACAACAAAAATTTGAAAATTGGGATTTCTTTTGGCAACAAAATTCAGGATTGTTTGGACCTTCTGATCTTCTCATGAGAAGACACCATTCAAAAGCAAATTTTAAATTTAGCATTGGTGGGGCCTTCTCACAAGCAGAAGACACCCTTTAAAAATTAGGATATGCTGCTTAATGTGGCGTGCACACGGTATTCTTTAGTAAAAGGCGAAAGAATAGTTCGCTTTGTGCTCACCACGCAGCTGCGTGCCTATCAACGCACGCACACCGCGCTATTATGTAGCCCAGCTCCCTGCCCTCTCTCCCTTGGCCGGGCGAGGTGGGACTAAACGAAACCATTTGTACGCCCTCTGGCTTGCCGTCCGCTGCCCCCAGACGCACGTTACGACGGGTCTGGCCATTCCAGGCTGTCAGCCCAGGAGCAGTGACGCAGATCAGCCCAAGAGCAGTGACGCAAATGGCCCAAAGCAGCTGTCCATGGCGTCCTACGCGGTCTTTTCGCGATCGTGCGACGACGCTTGCGCCTGGAATGAAATTTGTTGCCACCTCTTCATTTGCCTTAAAAAAACCTCTTCGTTCATGTACGCTGCGCCTGTCTGGCATTGTGTACACGATCACCGGCCGTGCAAACGATGATGCACCTATGTTCACAGAAATCGATGCACCGATCTTGCAGGAAAAAAACATTCATGTGAAGGTCTTCCCATCAAAATTCAAGGAAAAATCAACCTTTATAAACATCGCAACCAAATTATGCCATTCACATTTTTGGTCGACAAGGATGACCTGTTAGAAATTATCATCTGTGCATATCGCGCAAAATGAGCTTAAACTTCAGAAGCTGAAAATAAGATGACAGCACCTCAGCTGTGACCTTGTTTGGATCTTCTTTTGTCAACCAAGCTTATGTGCTGCTCAGCAGTCTGCAGTCAACTACTGCTCAGTGTCGAAAACGCTATTATATTATGAGACAGAGGAAGTAGCATTTTTGCCCGCGACGAATATGCAATGCAGAGTCATCTTTATTTATGCGCTGAATAATCTAGTGCAAAAGTACAGAGTCGCAGACACAATTTGACACACTCTTTGCGGGTACACGACGGCAATCTTCTCTCTATAAATCCACAGATAGCGCGGTTCACAAAAGCGATAGCAAACTTAGATTCCCACAAGCAACTCCACTAGAGTTCTAGAAACCCGAGCAGAGCTACCGCTGCTTCATCCGCTAACCGAAATCGACCTCTCTCTTCGTGAAGACCTGCCGTACTTCCCATCCAATGGACTCGCGCTCCTCGATCCGCTGTCCACAGGCGAGCGGGAGCGCGTGGGGGACTCGTCTCTGAACCTCCGCCTTGCGGGCCGAGGTGATGGAGACCTGTCAAAAGGCGACAGGTTCAGCGTATCATTAGGTGGAGAAAAAGATCAAGAACCGTACTACTGTATTAGAGTCTCCAGCAGCTACACTGAAAGCTGGAAAGAAGAGCATGCACACCTTGAGTAGCTTCGGCCATGGTAAGAAGGCCGCCCCCTCGGGGAAGGAGAGTGCCGCCGATCGTAAGACCGACCTCTGCTACTGCAGGATGTGCAAACAAACAGTCGTTTGAGTGGCAAGCATTTGGAGTTAAATTAATGACAAGCTACGTGTGGGCGCAAAGAAACAAGCAGCAAACCTTTCTCTGGTTCTCATCTCAGCAGGCTTCTTTCTGTTCTCCTGTGCAAAAACAACTGCAACTTCTCTACCAAGAATGACCTGTCCATCCATGTAGTATTTTGCGTCTGCCGCATCGTCGGGATCAAAGTACTGCACAAACCCAAATCCTCGCGGCTCCCTGCAACGGACCAAACAAAGTAGAAAGATCATACCCATCCTTAAAAAGGGTTATTATAAGCTTATGGTCCTGGCAATATAACAGAATTTCTTCAAAGTAGAACACAGCAACCAAACCAGTGACAACTTCCAATAGTCAAAGACACACGCAGATTAAGTAAAACAAGTAAAAAGTGCACTCAGCTGCTGACCTTGCACTTCATAAGAGTTCTAATACAGACTTCGAACTCTTCATGATCACTTGCAAATCTCTTAAACCTGTAACTATATCTTCCGTTCTCTTCAATAATGATCTTAGTTGCATTTGTATGTCTCTTTAACTTGCAAGTCTCTATTTCTTCCATTCTCTTCAACAATAATCTTTAACTGCATGTTTCTTAACTTGCAACTTCTCTATCTTTCCTTCTCTTCAACAGTACTCTTAACACTTGTCTTCAAAAGATTACTTCCACTGTTAATTCCAAGGGGTTCACAAAAGTATTTAATGTACGCTGATACAACTATATTGCAAACAACTATCTTGCGAGGTGGATTATCCTATGACTAAAGCGGCATGTGCTATCCTAAAAGTGCAAATAGCAAATATGGATATGGCAGTATGTTACTGCAAAAATTGCTAATATCTGCAGTTGTAATGGACAATGAACAAGTCTAGATAGAGTGCCTTACTGAGTATAGTAATCCCTTGGAATATATACGTCCTTAAGACGACCAAACTGTGCAAATGGCCTGCGTAGGTCATCTGGCCTGCATTCATAATTGATGATGAGTTAAAAAGGCTAGGAGGAAAGAAGAAATTCATATCACTTACATGGAAAGAATAAAAAAATTGATAATTTAAGAAACAGCAAGATAGGAAGGGAGGAGAGACGCGCACAGACGAAAGCCAGTTAAGCAGCAGATAGCAAGAGGTAACACATATGACTAATTGCTTATTCAAGGATGCATTTTGAAGTTGATCCCTATTGGTTAGGGCTGATCCCCCACATGGAAAGGCATGGGTTAACAACTGAAGATGGGCTTATTTATTACCACCAAGTTATATTCAAAACTAAATGTATAGACTTAAAAAACTACCTTAGTTGAACATGAATACACACATGCTTCAAAATAGAATGAGGATAGAACATCGAAGATGGATTTACCATATTTTCTGAATGTGTTACACCAAGGAGAGTTTAGGTAAGAAATTCCACAAATATTATATACACCGGATACGAAAATGCATGCTAGTTTGGCCTAGGAGAAAGTTTAGCTAACACATATGACAAATTGCCTATTCCTGGATGCATTTTGAAATTGATGCCTCATTAGTGCTGAATCTCCCACAGGGAAAGGCACGGGGCAACAACCGAAGATGGCTTATTTTATTATACCACCAAGCTATATTTTAAACTAAAATGTATATACTATTAGACTTAAAAAACTATCTTAATTGAAGATGAACACACATTTCTTCATCAAAGTAAAATGAAGATAGAATGTCACAGATGCATTTACCATACTTTCTGAACATGTTTAACACCAAGATGAGTTTAGGTGAGAAATTGCAGAAATATAAAAATACATGCTAGTACTAGCCTGGGAAGTTCTGTGAAAACCTTACCTGCAGTCACGACGAAGGTTCCTGACCAAAAGACTGGTTGGGAGATCTCTACCCCGACCATCATAACGATCACGGGGACTTGGACTACGGGCCCTTCCCCTGTAGCCTCTTGGTGGCGGGGATGGACTGTAGCTGTAGCCTCTTCTCATATTGGTCTACAATAAAACAATAAAGCATTATTACTAAAACAATTCCATGCGCCACAAAATGACCAACTAGCCTATTCGAACATACTTCATAAATCAACATCGTATGCGCAATGAAGATTAAGTAAGGGATGACCTAACCATCAAGCACTAACTTGAAGGGATAATCTATGTTCAAATAGGGAGAAGATTGTAGTGATCACTTTGCACTCAAAACATCGTAATTTTGTCCATTGTACAAGATGTCATCGCTTCATCATCACATGTTTTCTTATATAGTTACATTGATGCAAACATTAATTGCTAGAGATGACACTAAAACCCAAGTTTGTAAGTTTATATAATTACTTTCCTAAAAGTAACTTAGATGACTTCGCGGGGATAGTTCACTACAGATTTCAGTTATTTTGTCTGATCTTCATGAGGTATAGAAAAACCAATAGTGAGCACAAGCTATCATCTAAAAGACTAAGGCTCCGTTCGGAATCCCTCCGCTCCGTAACTCCGCGCGGAGCGGAGCGGCATACAGTAGAAATACAGAGAGCGGCAAACAGGCTGCTCCGCGCGCTCCGCTCCCTGGTGACGGAGCGGTGGATTGCCGAACACAGCCTAAAAGTATCAGGCATGCAGGGTCAAAGGGCGAACAGGACTTTTTAAGTACCCCTACAGTTAACCAACACATCAGGCCCGTGGGAGTATCTCTTAGGAGATCAAGAATACTTTCTCGAATCAACACAAGGGAATGACAAACAGGTTACAATGAAACAGTGGCTAACCCCCACAGTTATTATGCGCATGAATGAACATGAACACTGGCACCCAAAACTTCAGAGCAACGACTACACTATATAACGGCAACGCTGCTGCGCCGAATTTGCTTCAGACCTATCCAGACAGTCTAACGAACCAACAGATCTGAGACGCGATTAAAACCGCAATCAGGACCGGCCATAATTTTGGAATATAAACTGCTAAAACTTCCTCGGGGATCATACGAAATCCGGGATCATGAATACATCGCGGTGATTAGGTAAAGTATATCAGACGGATGATCACAGGCAACCAAGCTACCGAGCAAATCGAGCGAAGCTTACCGCGGACGGGGAGGATCGATCGGAGTGGCGCCGCCCGAGGGGAGGAAGGAGAGGAGAGGAGATCAAGGTTCGTGTGGAGTCCGGAAGCTTCCCGACGCGACGGGGAGCCTTTATCGACTGAGTCGATGTCGCGCAGACGTTGGATCGGGACACCCGTCCTAACTTGTGCGGTTGGACGGTGATGGATGCAGTGGGCCGGAACCGTTTTGGGTCATAGGTGGATGGGCTTCTCTCTCCATTTTTTTAAACAACAATAACTGTCACGATTTTGAACTAACTCCAATTCAAAACTGCGACACTTTTTTTACATCCAATTCAAAACTGCAACATTTATTTTGGATCGGGGGAGTAGTATTTTTTTAAGGAATTGTTGAAAATAAAGGTCAAATGAAACAAAAGAAATTCCCGCAAAAAAATGAAACAAAAGAAAATGATGAAATCACACAGAAATGGATATAGAAAACGCAAAGAACTCATATGACTTGTCAAAATTTCCCTCGACAACAAAAAATAATCCGTGTTCAGAGGAATATAAATTGGTGTTTTCCTCCACAAACATTTTTACGACAAAATTATACATTAAACTTAATGAAAACATAGAACCGGAGCATGCACCGGTTTTTTCTAGAAAAAGTATATGTTGACCTTGCTTTTTTACACCAAAGCAAAGTTGAAATACTTGTCGCACAAATAGATAAAATTAGATGTATCTAGAACTAAAATACGTCTAGATACATTTATTTCCCCGACAAGTATTTCCGGACAAAGGGAGTACAACATTGAAACTATTTTACTCGAAAAAAACATCAAATCTATGTTGTAATGAATATAACAAAATCAATTTGATGTTTTAACTATTGATATATCTCCCTATCGGTTTGATGAAAATTAAGAAAATAACTCGGTATAAAACTAGGGCTTCAATTAATTTGAAATGAAATGATTATTGTTTTACAAAATTAATTTACACATGGCCCTAGGTGTCTTATGCAGCAGCACATGCTCTGGGTGATCGATGAGTTTATGAGGATGAGGATTGTGACATGTGGAGGCTAACCAAAGGTAGACTTCATCTAGATGTGTGTTCACCAATCTATTGACTTCTTATGTGTTAAAATGAAAAATTAAATGGTTTAATATCTCAAGCAATTAATTTTACCTTGATGAGAGCTTGAAAGTTAAATCTCAGGCAATGCTTGGAATCTTGGACAATAAAAATGTATTGGCATTAATTATGAGATCATAATATGCCGCTTAATGAATAATTATTACTCCCTCCTTTCTACAATGTAGTGCATTTTTATTTATTTTTTGAAAAGTCAAACCTCACAAACTTTGACCAAAGTTTATGGAGAAAAACATTTACACCTAGAATGTCAAACATATATCACTAGATTCATCATAGTTGTAGTTCCATATTTTATATATTTGGTATCATAGATATAAATAGTTCTCTCTATAAGTTTGACTTTTCAAAAAATCTATACACACTACATTATGGAACGGAGGGAGTACATCATGAATGGTCATGATGATGCACTATGTTTTAGATATCCTAATGTTATAGAAGTTTTAAGTGTATCAGTTAATAGCATGCGGTATCATACCATCCCAACATTCTAATGCAAGTCATATGGTGCATGAGTAATGTTAAGTAACTCAGTAACCAAGTGACTATGACATGGTGTCATCAATCGTCGATCAACTACACTCAGAATTATGGACGATAAATCTATAATACCTAAATAGTTCATCCCCACTATCCTATTTCTCTTGACATGCAGCCTATCCACCTCAGCAATTCACTTTCACATAAAAAAATCAACAAATTGTGTGATCTAAATACTATTTTGTATTTATCCATGCCGTGGTCACCGAACCGATTGACTCTCTTCCACTTCTGCCACCGAGAGATGAACCAATCAAAACGCTGTTTACTCCCGAACAATCAAAACGCACCACCGGCCGCCTATGGCCATTGGGGTCACCGCATCCTCCTTATTTATCTCCGCTCATTTCCAGATCCATCCATCCCGATCTCTCCCGTCTTTCTCTTCTCAATCCCTCGGTTGCTTCACGGTGCACAGCGCCTCTGCCTGACCTACTTCTGCCGTGCGCCTACGCCTTGCCGCTAGGATAGTGGTTAACTACAACCTATCGAAGCGTTGCGCTATCGACCTGCCATCGTGAAGTCACTGATGGTGCCATCTTCTAGCATCTCTCGTGTGGAAGGTGGGAGGAGGCAGATTCAGACCTTTTTTGCCTTCGTGGGTTCAAAATTAAGCAGGTGAACCTTCCATCCTATTCCCGTGAGTGAGTTTAGCGATTGGTATCTTTGCTGATTCGTTTGGGGATAATCAATGAATAGCAGATTAGTCGTCGGGGCAGAACTACCTGAAGCTACCCTGATGCATCGGAAGAAAATCTTAGTAGTGATTACCATCCCTATAGAGCATGTGCAGCAGGTAATCCCAATGGCAGTGTATCAGGCATAAAATTCAGAGAGAAAAAGACGACAATCTTGTATGCTGTGATAGTGGGCACCAGGCCTGGTGGGCAAGGCAGGTCTCGGCTCTATGGGACTGAGGGCCTGCTAAAGCTAATTTGAGAAGAAGGTCACAATGACGGAATTGGATGCCTTTTACGCTAATTTGTACATGAGTAGCACGTTCGTATCAAAATCAATTAATTATGGATCTCACAAAATGGCACAGCTTTGCATCAATGCTTCTGCTCCCCATAACAAGGCGACGAGTAAAGCAACAGATGGCCAACGCGCTGGTGGAGGATAAGCGCGGCAGACGCTCCTTACATACTGGCAGGTGTTTTATCTCGGTTGTGTTGGGCTCGAGCTGCCGCCACTACGACGCCATGGCCTCTCCCCCTTTCTTAGTATTTTTTAGGAGGATTTAACTGTTGATTTTTAGAGAGAAGAAACGTCATGCAGGGACTAAGTTTGTCCAATTCGAGTATGTTCAATGGAATTTATGCATGAGCACAATTGTTCAAGTCTTTACATTAACAAGAAGCAATTTGGTCCTGTTCAATTTTAGCTCTATGTGCCACCATATGTAAGTAGTCTCTCTCAATATATTTTTTCTTAAAATCTTAATGTATACACAAGGCATCATAAATTCTCTTGCTGCTTTCCGAAAAACGTACTCAAACTCATTGTTTTCTTCTGTCTTTCTAATGGACTGATTATAAGCATTGTGTGCAAGCTGGTAAACAAAACAACTCAACCAATTTCAAACTGACTGTTACTGGTGCAGAGCGTTTTCCCACTTTTTCTTCTCTTACTGAAGATTACTTCCCATACACACGTTACAGTCTGAAGGTATATGCGAAATTTATGTTTATGAGTTGAGTCATATACATGTTTTACTGCAAATCATGATGGCTTGCTTATTTTTCATTCAAATTCCAAAATGTTCCTCTATTCTTCCCTCTGGAGTTTCTTTTGCAAGTGTTCCATGTATATTTTAGGTAAAGGATCATATGCTATGGATGCACAAATAGATTATTCTGGAGTAATTTCTTTTGTTTGGTCAATGGCAGATCACTAAAACTGAATAGTGTTCTAGAAATTATGAATGTTTTTTTGCAGGTACTCAAATTATGAATACTATACTCTCTCAAGACAAAGATTTAACTTTGTTGAACTTTCACGTGCTACCTTTTGCCCATTTTATTTGCTTACCCACACTAAAGAGTTCCTGGCGTCACAAGCCACTCAAAATAACACGAGGATAGGAGTGTGTACCGACTATATAGGTACATACCAGAGATCCCAAAATATGCGAGTTACATGTATCTTCTCTAAACAACAGAATTATGGTGGTATCTACAGGTTGCTTTTGTCTTGATTTTCAGTTTCCTTTAGATGATTTTTATGTGTTAATATTTGGA